AAACTGAAGCGATCTTGGGATTGACCTTGCCTTTGAAAGAGATGGCCGCTGCCCCGAAACTATCGGGCTCCCAGTCCTCCTCCTCTAAGGCCTGGAGTTGCTCGTCGTTGGCATCTTCAGCTTGCGCAAGATCTGTAGGGAACTGGACAAAGACCCTGTTGGGGCAGCGCCAGGCTTGGTCAGCCGCTCTTACCACAGCATTGGCAAATGCCGTGGGGTAAACGGCAGTCCATGCAGTGTCTCGCCCTTGTACTGGTCGATGATCATGGCTGCCATCTTCACATTTCTGCGCGATGTTGTTCCCAAACGTGGTGTTGTTGGTGAGCAGAGCCAACGGTTTTCTCAGTGGCCGCCCATCTTGCAAGCTTCGGAGGCCAAACGTACAAAGATCTACCTCAGCAAATGTTGCCGACACCCCCACAAAACGCTGAAGTGCCGGATGTCGCCAGAGATCACTCCCCTTGGGGTTCTCAATCACCGCAATGCCACCCAAAGAGTGTTGTAGTTCAAAAACCCGTGCAGTGAAGTTCACCAAGGCCCCTTCTCTCTTCCGAAGACGCCGTAGTTCTTGCTTCTCATAGTTCAACCTCGAAAACTTGCACCAGTATGTGCAGGGTGGTGCCATCCAAAGCAACTTGGGTCTGTGCTCCAGGATTTCACTGAGCACCTCCTCCTGCTGACTCCGTAGTTTGAGGTTGTGGTCATACTTCAGGTCTCTAGGTTGGAGCACTGCTCGGTGTCGTTTGGCATAGGCGCTGGATATCCTGGCATGTCCAGCAAACAGCTCAAGGCAATCAGTCCCTCCATTGTCTCGTTCATAGTGTCGAGGTTGTAGAACTGCCCAAGCTTCCCAAAGTGGATCTGCCATGACCTCATGTGCCCAGCCGCCCATTGCCACTGTGCATGCCAAAAGCACCGTGCAGAGCCCCTTTGCTTGATCTTTCATGAATTGCGTGGTACTTCTTCTCGCCATCTTCCGCCGTTTCATACCAGCCCTGGCTCTCGCCTTCGGGGACCCACTACGCGGCCCATCACCAGACGATTCGCTGCTGCTAAGCCCGAGCATCACCTCATTCACAAACACCTCGTTCTCATCCGGAGAGTCGTTGGTGTTGGTGTCATACTTGGCCTTATAGTCACCAGTGCAAAGCCCGACTGTGTCCTTATACTCAGAGACCTTGCGCTCATCCGGAGCGTCGTCACCGCTACACACATACTTTACCTCATAGTCCAGACCACCCATCGGTTTCAGCACTGTGGCATCCTTGCTTTCAATCTCCTCCTCCCGGATGCCCTTGGTGTCGGAGATTTCACCACCAGCTGCACTGCTCAGTTGGGATTGCGCTTCTTGAGCGCTGAGATCCTGTCCTCCAACTTCTTGATGGTGAGGTTCGGATCCTCCCCCTCGTCCTCCAGATCGCTGTCGCTGATGATCTCGGGTCCCCGACGAGCCACCCCCCGACGTGAGGAGCAGCCGCTGACCCTGCTCCACGAAGCATCTGAGTACCCCCCATGGCGACCGAGGTCCTTCATCTTGGGTGGAGGCACCACCGCATTGGCTTCCGGGTCTTTGGCCACCTCGGTCGAGCTGCTCGCTGTCTTCTGACGCCGTTCCACTTCTCCCTGCGCCCATGTGGCGAGCCTCACCAGATCGGGTGAGGAGTTCGGGTTTGCCAGTGGGACTTCTTGATACATCCATCCCTTGAACTTGCCGAAGGTCACCAAAGTCTGCCCTGGGGTGCTCTTCACATCGCGGATGAGCCTCATCAGCAGGCCCCTTGTCGGAACTGGCGGCATGCTGATCTCCAACCGAGTTGCTTCGGCTGAGAGCTCCGCCAAGGTCATCTTGGTGAGCCCCTTCACTGGGTTCTCCCCCTTGGGCGGCTTCTCCAGCTCCTTTTGCTCCAACAGGATCGACCTCAACTCTGGCACCGTCCAGTTGTGATGAACGGCAATCCCGCGCCGATCCAGCTCTTCCACCAACTCGCTGCGCTTCATGGACCATGGCGATGGTGCGCTGGAAGGCATCGGCAGGTTCTCCGGAATTGGAGAGGCACGATTGGTCGCGTTGATCAGGCTTGATCTTGCGAAAACGACTGCGACCAATCCAAGGATGTACCAAACCATGAGGCATGTCAATGTTGTGGTACGTGTCATCTTCAAAGTTTGTTGATACCACACCTTCGCCAAGACATGGTATGTGTTCTGTGATGCGATGTCCATCCAATCGTGAAATCAACTGCTGCTTCAAAGAACTCAAAGTGGTCTTCCAAGATGAAGGGTTGAAAAGATGTTTCCGTGGTACAACATGTATGCGAATCAGCTCCAACTCAGTTTCAACCCAAAAATCTCTTGATTGATTTGCTGTCTTCCACCATGTAATAAAACTTGCTCCACTCAAAACATGCTCTGATTCCAACATGAGTTGGATCTCCCTTGAAAGTTTCTTTGGAAAAAACAATGGCTTGCAACTGACGCTCGCACACATATATGTCGCTCTCGCAAGGATGTGCACATCTTCGGGTGAGAAGTCTGGGATCGTTCCAAATTGTGGGTCTTCCCCGAAGTCAGAGACCAAAAGTGCTGGATGTCCGGTCGGACTGGTCAGCAAAGGCAGCTCGGTGAGCTCGAGTCTTGACAGCCCAACCTGTTGCTTAGCAACATCATAGCACATGCCCAAGCTGGCCAGCACGGGTCTGCTGAACAAAAGTGGTACCTTGCAAGGCACTATTGAAACTCTCACAGCAAATGGCCTCCCAAGGATGGCAAACCAGGCCTTGACGGCAAACATTGACCTGTACACCTTGGAGGCTCCAAACTTGAAATACTCAGACTCATCGACGGTCTGAACTTCCAGCCCAGCTGCATCGGCCACCTGGACATACTTCTCAAACCATTGATAGCCTGCAACAGTCTTTGTGCAGGCCGTGTCGATGATCGCCAAGAGCTTGTTGCTCTGTGGTCCACCTCGGCCCTCATGTTGACACTCCACCGGGTCTACACCATCATGTGCCCCGTCGGTCATGCAGCAACTCCAACATGCTAGCAATTGCTCTCCTTGAGTTCCATGGGATGCGCCCGCTACATACTCAGAGTTGTAGTCGCTGTCCAGTGCAAGCAATTGGTCTCCTTGGAGTCCGTGGGATGCGCCCGCCACATACTCAGAGTTGTAGTCACTGCCCAATGCAAGCAAGTGCCCCCCGTGATCTCCATGCGCGCCAGAAGTGGTCATGAAGCACTGGTTCACAAAGTTCACAGACTGAACCTGATTGCCTCCCGACCCGCTCGTAGGAGCACCATTGTTCGACTTCTGGCGCAGCGGACACTCAGGGTCCTTGTGCCAGTGGCCCCTCTGCTTGCAAGCGCTGCAGTAGCTCCTTTGCTTAGCGAGCTTCAATCTCTCCTGGTTTCTCTGCTCCATGGCTTGGCGGTCAACGCCTCGCCCCTTCAGCACCTCACGGTACTTCGCCTTTGCTCCCTGGTAAGTCATGTAGGCACTGTAGTGTTCAGCGGCAGTGTCTTCATCCACGAGCTCCTCTTCGTCAGAGCCCTGAGCACCTTCTTCTCCATCACTCGATAGCTCATTGCCATCCCCATTGGTCATGTGGACGCTCTGACGCCCCCACCGTTTGCCACCATGACGACCCTCGTCACCATGCCACCCGCCTGGACGGCGAATGGCCCGATCTTGCACGAGCGCTGCATGCTGAAGCTTCCGACAGTCGTACTCGTTGTTGACACTGGAGAGAAGCGCAAGTTCCTCAGATTCTGATAACCTCAATTTGTCAAGGTAGAGCCATGCCTTGATCATTGGCGGCACATTGCACTCTATCTCAGCTAATCTGAGGACCAATCTCTCAAACTCCACATTGAAGTCCCTGATGGTTTGCTCTGGTTTCCGTTTGCCACGTTTGAACAAGTCACCCATCATTTGTGCAACCTTTGACACCTCTATTTCCATGAAACGGGTCTGAATCCACTGCAAAAAGTAAGAGACACCCCCCTCTGTGGCCAAGCGGTCTACGTCGAGCTCTTCCGCGTAGACCCATGCCTTGCCAGACAGAGAGTTGTAGAGTGCCAACCCTCTCTGGTACGGCGGCAATTTGGTGCAGCGCAGCCACACCTGAATCTTCCTCAGGTACGACCTAGCCGATCGGCCCAAGTCGGTGTCATTCGTTCCTTCGCCATCAAACTCAGGAACTGTGAGTTTCTCAGTCGGTTTCCCTTTTTCCTCACTCACCTCATGCCACATGTCATGACGTGCACCTCCATGATCACCTTGGTCGCCTCCATGCCACCTACCATGAAGCATCGCAGTGGTATTCTCTATCTGTGCCACATTGAACTGTCTCAGCTGAGCATCCCCCAGCCATCCATCATACTTCTTGTCATCACTTCTAGAACCGCTACCAACCACACTTCCACTGGACCTCCATGGATCCGCCACAGGCCGATCCCACCATGGATCACTATCCCCCCTAGCTCCATCTCGGCTCACGCCTGACTCACCACCTGCAGCCCCCCAAGGTTCTTCGTCCCGGTCCTTGGCACTCCACGACCATCCAGAGTCGCCACTGTCCCATCGAGACGTTGCCCCCGTAGAAGCTGCCGCAGGCCTGCCCTCATACCTGGAGCAGGAAGGTTTCCATGCACTCATGCCCAAAGGTCCTGGCCGTCGCCAGTACTGCTCCGCGGCACCAATGTAGATGCTCTATGCAGGCAATGCAAACATCACATGGCAATGCACACACCGTTTTAACCTGAAGTGGACTCTTGTGCCTACAGTGGCCACGGATCCATCGTGACTATGCGTTCAGCCAAACTGTGCATGCTGAAAATGGAGTGCATTTACACCATCATGTCCTGTTACTGTTCTATGGAGGCTGAAATAGGGGTACCCCCAAATCATCCATTAATGAATATATAGCGTTTTTATGCGTTTTTCCACTATAAACCAACAACCAACACTAAAGTCAAAGACGGAAAAAAAAAACGCATGACTATGGAAACCCCCATAGAAGTATATCTAAAGTCAGCAGAAATTTTTGCCCCTCTTTGCCACCTGCCTCGCCCGGCGCAGACTTTCCCTGGATGCGCAGAGAAGGTACCGCCTGCAGCGGGGCGAATTCAGCATCTTTCCACGAAAAAGGGTGGAACGTGTCCATGAAATCTGCTTGGTTGTTACTTGTTCTTTCATGGAAAGGGAAAATCATATGCAAACAGAGTATGTTGGATCTAATTACTAGACAATTCTCGTTGCGATACATGGTGACATGGTTCCGTATTGCAATACTCTGTGATGGTTCCTACAGTTCCCACAAATGTCTAGAGTTGGCCAGAAAGGTTTCAGCAATGTACTGTCCCAAGTTGGCTAGTATCCCTTGCGTTGACCCCCACCCACTAAGCCAATAGAAACCATAAATCCTGGTGGTGCTTATATAGCCTAGATCGTTGGGGGACTATCCCGAATCTCACGACAGTTTCCGCCTCGGCAGGCGGTGAGACCACCGTCTCCGAAACCTTCAAAACCTCTTTCGGCCGAGAGGAAATCTTCGAACCCGAGGCCTGCGCCAAAGATGGAAGAAATCCTTCACTTAAATAGGCTCTTTGCAGCAGCTGCGCATGGGTCAAGATTACTCATCAAGAAAAAAACGTGTGCCGTGTGCAGTTAAATATGGTCACTGTTAGAATACTACGGATGACCAAATTTCTGGGCCCTTTGGTGCAATCTTTTGGACAACCACAGCCACATGCCCCAATCCACTTAGCTATGGCCTGGAATGGCTCAAAAAGTGAGGGGACCAGGAATTAAAGGACCAGATAACCCCACAAGGCAACTTCTTCCAATAATGAGCACAAAATGTTGTAACGGGGACGGGGAAGAAGGGAAAGACAAAGGAGGTGGTGGAGGATCGAGAACTAAAACAAAGTTGTGTGTGACCAAGTTGTATGTGAAAGATGGTGTGTGCCAAAGAAAGATAGTGTGTGACAAAGTTGTGTGAAAGATGGTGCCTGTGAAAGTTGTGTGTGAAAGAGAGCGTGTGACAAAGTTGTGTGAAAGATAGTGTGTGACAAAGTGGTGTGTGAAAGATGGTGTGGCGAAAGATGGTGTGTGACAAAGTTGTGTGTGAAAGATGGTGTGTAGAAAGATGATGGTGTGCGACAAAGTTGTGTTTGAAAGATGGTGTGGTGAAAGATGGTGTGTGACAAAGTGGTGCGTGAAGGATGGTGTGGTGAAAGATGGTGTGGTGAAAGATGGTGAAAAAAGTGGTGTGTGAAAGATGGTCTGTGACGGTGTGTGAAAGATGGTGTGTGACAAAGTGGTGTGAAAGATGGTGTCAAAGATGGTGTGTCAAAGATGGTGTGTGACAAAGTGGTGTGTGAAAGATGGTGTGTCAAAGATGGTGGGTGACAAAGTGGTGTGTAAAAGATGGTGTGTGACAAAGTTGAGGGTCAAAGATGGTGTGTGACAAAGTTGTGTGTGAAAGATGGTGTGTCAAAGAAAGATGGGTGACAAAGTGGTGTGAAAGATGGTGTGTCAAAGATGGTATGTGACAAAGTTGGGTGTGAAAGACGGTGTGTGTGACAAAGTTGTGTGTGAAAGATGGTGTGTGACAAAGTGTTGTGTGAAAGATGGTGTGACAAAGTGGTGTGTGAAAGATGGTGTGTGACAAAGTCGTGCGTCAAAGATGGTGTTGGACAAAGATGGTAGGTGGATGTCACCAAGTGCCACGCCTGCCACGTGAAACGAAGGTGGATGTCGCCAAGTGCCACACCTGCCACGCAAAGTGCCGCGGCGTCACCGGCGACTAATCCAGCCCAAGCGCGCGCCACCAGAGCCAGCCCAGTGCCCTAAGTGCCACGCCTGCCACGCAAAACGAAGGTGGATGTCACCAAGTGCCACGCCTGCCACGTGAAACGAAGGTGGATGTCGCCAAGTGCCACGCCTGCCACGCAAAGTGCCGCGGCGTCACCGGCGACTAATCCAGTCCAAGCGCGCCAGCAGAGCCAGCCCAGTGCCATAAGTGCCACGCCTGCCACGCAAAACAAAAGGTGGATGTCACCAAGTGCCACGCCTGCCACGTGAAACGAAGGTGGAGGTCGCCAAGTGTGAAAGATGGTGTGTGAAAGATGGTGTGTGAAAGATGGTGGTTGACAAGGATGTGTGTGAAAGATGGTGTGTGAAAGATGGTGGTTGACAAGGATGTGTGTGACCTGCCACGCGAAACGAAGGTGGATGTCGCCAAGTGCCACGCCTGCCACGCAAGTTGTGGTGACAAAGTTGTGTGTGAAAGATGGTGGATGACAAAGATGATGTGACAAAGTTGTGTGTACAAAGTTGTGTGAAAGATGGTGGGTGACAATGTTGTGTGTGAAAGATGGTGTGTGACAAAGTTGTGTGTGAAAGATGGTGGGTGACAAAGTTGTGTGTGAAAGATGGTGGGTGACAAAGTTGGTGTGTGAAAAAGATGGTGGGTGACAAAGTTGGTGTGTGACAAACTTGGTGTGTGAAAGATGGTGTGTCACAAAGTATTGTGTTTAAGATGGTGTGTTTAAGATGGTGGGTGACAAAGTTGTGTGTGAAAGATGGTGGATGACAAAGATGGTGTGACAAAGTTGTGTGTACAAAGTTGTGTGTGAAAGATGGTGGGTGACAAAGTTGTGTGTGAAAGATGGTGTGTGACAAATTGCTGTGTGAAAGATAGATGGTGTGTGAAGAGGAGGCGGCGGAGGAGGAGGAGGAGGACGAGGAGGAGGAGGCGGCGGGATACAGAATCAAAAACAAGAACCCCACACAAAGATGTGGGGAAAAAAATGGGTTGTCCGTATTGAGAGTCTAGAACCATTTGACTCTAATCGATGTTCATCCAGACAGCCTGCAGCGAAACTGCCGACGTCTCGTTCGACCGCGAAGTGGAACTCGATGCCTGCAGCTGCTTGAGCCATGGAAATTCATTCGAAAGTTGGTCAAATCCATTGAAATCCAACCATATCCCATCTTCCCAAAATATTTCACCACCCAAAAATATATAAACATGGAGAATTCTGGCATAGATGTCCATGTAGACCATCAACTGAAAATCTGAAAATGCTAGCCCTGAAGTTCTTGAACGAGATGATTGCTAGAGTAGGTAGATGGGAAACAGGTAATTATACATCGCTATGACATAACCCTGGAATGTTGAATATTCTGTCTCCAGGACAAACCAACATGGCAAATATGATAGATCCGGAATTGTATAATACACACGCAAATATAATTATCGCACAGGCATGACATAAAGAAACATCAGATATCCAGCAGAAGCAAAACTTATGCTTTTCTAGCGAAATTCTGTATTTTTCTTGTTTTTGGTGATGTTATTTCATGTTCTTTCTAGATACCCCTTCGTCTTCATCACAAATGTGTAACCCCTTCGGGACGATGAAGCTGTTGTCCAGGAGGCTTTCGAAGCTTTCGCTGGACTGGCTGCTGCCTGGCTCAGTGCCAGCTTTGAGAAAAAAATGCGACTTTTTGGTGATTGAAATAAGGATTCACTAGGCTCATTCTTATTTTGTGATGCGTGTTGGTGATTGTTTTGAAGGGATTTCAGATTTACCGGAGAATCAAAGTCATTGTCGAAGATGTGAGTTTTTGAGCAACAAAGAATGGGGTGATCTGACTGATTTGCCAAGGATGCAACCAAGAAATCTGAAGTGGCATCCTGGACATGTGGCCGAAAACCGTGGTTTTTACTGCGTCCCTGGTCTTATAGTTGTTATCTATCCTTGCTTTTATCTATACTTATAACAACCCTCAAAAAGATGGAAAAGGTTCAATGTATCACGAGTGTTGATTCAGATTTTACCAAGTTCTCTCTTTCCGAGGCCAGCCTGATGAGCCAATGATTCCCCAGTTTTTCCCACCTGGACCGCAGCCTTTGAGACGCTCTCTTCACTCACTTTGGCCTGTAAAACTCGGTGAGTCAGTCATTCCCAAAAAGATTGAAGAGTAAAGCATCACTGCATCACTACTTTAGTAAATTTGACTTTTCTATCTTTTTGACGGGTGACAATATGGTAAATCTGATGCCATAAACCAGCAGGTGGGGATGTGTGCTTTTCTACTCTTAAATCACCGATTTTGTTTACCAAACCTGGCGTCTCCATTACAGCACCTTTTCAAATAGCCATGTTTGGGGCATCCACCGCATTTCCAACCAACTCGATCAACTGAACTGGAAAGATTCTGATGGAGAAAGACTCATCTAGAGTGGCACATGAGCAGGTTGAAGTGAGTTGATGGATATGATCAAGTTGTCTTGCATGACAAGTGAACGCACTCGTCCTTCTGCTTTTGAACCATGGACATCTGAATTTATCTAGGACTTGAGGGCTTGTCCAGCATGCCATGCCAGATAGAATTCCTGAAGCGCATGTTGTAACACAAAACCCTCGGCTCAATCTGATGCTTTTCGCCTAACTTGTAATCGCCATATGGTTGGTTGTTGAGATTGGGAACCTGCTAGTCAATATAGTTACTATAGTTCATTAAATGCCCCCAAGAACCCCCCTCAGACATCGGCGCATCCGTCTTCTGGGACCCAGCTGATCCAAAGATTTCTGGGCCCCACCTTCCTTCGCTCCTGTTCTGCCTTTTCTTCCGCTTCCAATTTCGCAATTTGTTCTTTCCTTGGAAGAAACACGGAAATGCATGGAAGCCTTCTCGGGTTGAGCTAGCTTGATGGTAGGTGATAAGCAAAAGTTCTGCCGGTTCTCTTTCCGTAGTTTGGTATTGATCCACAAATAGGATCAAATACATGGAATAGGGCAACACTGAGGCACCAGTAAATACCATCTGGTAATTTAACATAGCTAGGCTATGGAAATGGTCATTTATAGATTATTTACCTATGAAAAGTGATAATTTTCCATAGCTATGTTAAATTACCAGAATGTAGTAATAAATCCCGAAATCAAACTACTTTGAGTATCTTGTCGGGAGATCAAGTCGGTGGAGCAGCACTCCCACTTGCAATCTAGTAGTCTAATCTGGCAAGGGGAACATGTTTATATGTGTGTTCTCATTTAAAAAAAAACAAAAAACAAACGTCCCACCGATTGGGGGATTTACCATGGCGATGGTTTATTGTCGTTGGATCCCCATTAAAATGACCCCAAGGACTCGCAAAGTATCTCCGGATAAGTCCCTAATAAAACTTCCGGAGAAGAATCAGGTCAATAGCCAGTCACAAGCCCCGACTTGCGTATCAAGTAAGTGGGAGAAGTACTATATATATAATTATATATATTATAATGTGGATAAAACAATAATAAACCACTCCCCAACTTCACCATTTTTATAGGTGGTACGGTTACCATTCCCAGTCATGGTTGGCGCCAATTGCATTGTTTTACCCAGCGTCGTGTACTCGATGTGACAGCCCATGGTGAAGGAGACTCCGCCCAGCGCCACATTGGCACTGGCAGATCCTGTCCCAGCACGGTGAACCGGGCGATTGAACACAACGGGATGGGGTCAACGGGTTCAACAACCAACCATCAACCAAAGGAAAACAAGATGGGAAAATCAATGACACTCATTTGGGACATAATTCATGAAACTCAATGTGGGACAGAACATATTATTAAAAAATATATAATATTATATATATATATACTATTATAAATCATATCAAGAAAGTCAAACTGGGGTACAAAATCAATAAACATCATCCGCTTGATGGTTTGGGATCATTGATGACCATGGTCGAAACCAATTCTGGGGCTGATAGAAGCAGCAAAACAGGGATGGGTCCAAAAGATCACCTCCAAAAATGGATGGTTTAAGACTAAAAATGCCCAATTCTGTGGGTCAATAGTGTGAAGTACCCGATGCTTGACCCATAGCCATGTGGAAAATTCACACTACAACCAGGCTTCTGAATCAATTCTGCAATCTTTGGGTTCTGGTCACTCTGAGGTATAGCTTCCTGAATTTTCTGCCGGCGTCCTCGTGTCCAAGTTCGAAGCTTCAGCAACTCCTCAGCGGAAACTGTGCCCCGAGTGCTTGTCTGCCCATCTCCACGATATCGCCATTCGATTGTTGTAATCATTTGATACTATTTGTGTAACCAACACTTTGGATCCTCTACCCCGCAAATTTCATGGTTATGCGGTTTTTTTGATCATTTTCCCACTTAAACAATTACCATTTGGAGGGATACCCCCCTTGTTTGGATGGCATTTGTCAGCTGCTGTGGTGTTTTTTAGGTGTCCTTGGCCGCCGCTTGCAGGATGTCGTCCTTGACCCCCTCGGTGCCTGCTCGCAAGGCGGTGTGATGTGATGTGATTCCCGTGATTGGCAGAGTCATCCTGGACTAACAGTTTGCTATTGAACATGGTCATAGAAATAGTGGATTTTCCCATTAAAAATAAGGTGATGTTCTATAGCTATGTTATATAGTTTACCAGAGGGTGTATATATATATATAGATTCTAGATGGTCATATTGTCATTCTGGACTAGTTTTTTTGAATATGATCATGCCTGGTCATTTCAACAACTCACTAAAATGGGCAGATCTTTGAAAGTCCCATATTCTTTCTATTCTAGGATGACTATACATTGACATGTTGATACTCCAGTCGCTGAGAATGTTGGATCTGATACTGCACTTCCTCATTTTTTGTGCTTTTATTCCAGTTTTCATTGGCAATATCCAGTTGAATTGTATCTTTTTCTCGGTCATAAAATCGTGATGTTATCTAGTGTTATAATACGTTAATCCGCTTTCCCTGGTGCTCAGACTCTCAGATCTTAAAAAGTGATATCCCCATCTTAGTCTCCTTCTCTCAATCTTTTGGCGCCTCATCCCGGCCGCGCTGACGTCCGGCCTGGATGATGTGACCAAGTGCCGAGGTCGTCTTCCAACACCTCATCCTCCTCGAGGCTGGCTGGGGATCTTGTGGAAGGCACTCCAGATTTTCAGCAAAATCCCAGAGTTTGCATGCATTTCAGTTGCCAAAAAAATAGAAGGGATATGAAGAGATCAAGGATTATTGCCGGGATTCTTGGAGAATATGGAAAAGAGTGATGGACATTTCTGTGAATCACTTGGAGCGCGCGTGAACTATGAACTATGGTCATCCTTCCATGTACTCTATCATGATGATTCACCGTGAAATTGGCGCCCGAATGATCCTCCAGGAACCCGCCCTTTGTCCTGTGGCACAGCTGGTCCGTTGGACCCGCATCTTTCACAGCTCAACATGTCGTGGGTGGCACAGGCTGTCCTCTCTGAGAAAGTGAAGAGGTCCTGGCATGGCTTGGGCAGATGGGAACCCCGAGAATAGCGAGAATAGGGGGGGTTGCACATACCAGATTTAAAAAGGCCAGCCATCAGGTCTCCATGGCTATCCCATAAGCCATGGTTTATCAGGTTTATCATTAGTTTACAAAGTATTATCAAGTCAAAAGATGTAAAAACAGCCAGAAACCATAGGGGTCTCTGTCGATATTTTCCCTGTCTGGGACAAAGACAAAGCCTCAATGAATTACGCCCTTCGTGGATGGAGGCATGGCTATGTGTCGATTCTCTCAGGTAACCTCACCTGGCGATGGTTCATTTGTTTCTTTTCTGGCAAAGCCCATATATATATATAGTGTATATATATAATTTAATCATATATATATAATTATATATACGTGTATATATATATATATCAGTAGTATAGATACACATTTATTCATTCATATATATATATATATATATTTATATATATATATGTATAAACCAATCCCAAATCTACTATTTGGAAAGTTCTGCCACCAGCAGCTCCTTCACCAAATCCGAAGCCAAGCTCTCCGTCATCTGCGCTTCGTCTTCACCTATGCAGCTCATCGCAGTGTCTGGTGGGGGAAAAAAAGTGGAAAAAGGTGGTGCGCCTGGAAAAGCTAAACCCCCAAAGAAATGACATTACACAACTGATGGTTGAACCAGCCTAGGGGATTTCAACTAGCAAAACTAGGGAAAAAAAAAAACAGGTTTGCTTCACATCTTGCGGTTTCTCCTATGAAATCTGGGTCATTTCAATCCCACAGTGGAAGCTACCGGGATGTGGTTTCTGAGCTTTGGATCTAGAAGTGTCGAGTCCATCAAGAGCATCAAGGTTTTTTGTTGGCTGCTTTTGAACAAATATGTCTAGATTCCTGCGATAGCAAATTGCTATAAATTGCTATATTTTGCGTCCCCAAAAAAGGATAGTAATGGAATCTTCACGACTGGGGATTTACCATTTTCTGTTTTTTTTGGGATGACTCTTGCTTACCAATGACCGTGTGCAGGTCTTTGCCGGCTCCAACTTCCAGGTCCCTTTCCGGAACATACCCAGCTGCTAGCCGGCGCCTGTTTCGGTGACCATCATGTTGGACAGGCCGTCCTGTTTCGGAAAAAACAGCATGTGTCGTTAAACGTGTCATGCTATGGACCGTGTCGTAGTACCATACGATAGCTGGTCCAGCTGGATGTACAAATTTCCTCATGGTAACAATCGGTATTGACCCATCCCCATATGGTGAGTCAAATTTTAAGACCTGGGGTACTGTACCACAGTACAAAGACTTGCCTATTTTTAGGGTTAACCAGCGAATGATTGGGGCGCCAATTTTGACCCATACCAAAATCCATTTCAAGCAGCTATGTTTTTTGACCAGAGCTAAGGGTTTTTGACCCATACCAGCCCATACCCAAACATAACAAACATCATGTTTCCAGGAAAAGAGGCCTGTCACCAGTTGACCTTTCGAAAAGCCAACAACATTCATGCTTGGAAGCCCAAAAAACACGACTTTGTCCTTGCAGATCTGGCGTTGGTAAACCTTCTCGTCAATGGTGCCAGTGGTAAAGAGCCTGGCCACATCAATCCGTGTTGGCTCATGTTCGCATATCTCCACACACACATGTTGACCGAGTTTACCTATACATGTCAACCAGATCCAGTTTGGAAAAACCAATCTGTTTTATCAACACCCTTGGGCTGTTTCACATGTTCAACTTGAACTGTCTGTTCAACGTCTCATTCCGTGTGTTACCATGTTTTACCAGGCCCTGCGGAACCTGTAGATGTAGCAGGGCTTCTTTTGTCCGTCACGCCACACCCGGGCCATCGCCTGCCTCGCCGTGGAGACCAAGAAAAAATGCCACCCGAGGTGCTGAAGGGTTGGTGTGAAAGTGTCAACATCATTCCATCACAACACTACCGGAAATATCTACCAGTAAAAATTCTTATCAGCTACAGTATGACCCAACATGCCCAACAATATGTTCCAAGCTTTAGCTAGTGCCAGCGCAAATCATCTTTGGTGCCAAGAGGTTGACCTGAACATCGACCCACCAACACCAAACTGTTGCATGCTGCGATATTTACCAACAAAACTGGGTCATTGTTTGGAAAAATGTTGGTAAATTAATATGTAAATGTAATGCACATGTTCCAACATGGAGCATATGGGTGCAATAACTCTAGCGTTTCGGTCCACCACGAAAAGCCATTTATGGCTTTTCGAAGGTCCTGGGGAGTCCCCCGTCAAATTGGAGAGAAAACAACACACTGCAGCGGTGACACAACCCTCTACTTCTATGGTATACCCCCAAAATATGAGATATCATCATATCATACTGCAGCTTGTATATCCCATTTAATCCCATATTATAATATATATAATTATATAATACTACTTACATCAATAATATGATGTATATGATAATGCTAATGTATATGGTACCGACACAGTATCTATAGATATCTATGTCTGAGTCTATCCATCGAGCCTATACCAAACATGTCCATGTCCAACGTAACCCGGGCCTGTCGTTGGCAGGATTCCAATCGGGGTCGAACATCACCAAGCGATTGGCGCCGATGAGATTCAGGCCACATCCACCGGCTTTCCTGACGGTTGGAAAAAGGGCTATGGAGCAAAACTCTGGTGCCCCAGTTATTGCTAAGTTTATAACATTTTATGACTATAGACTATATATAGATTATGACAGATGATGGTTATAATATAAATTATAAATAGTGATAAACCAACTTAACTTAGCCAAGGTTACATAACTCAAATAGATGGTTTATCTAGGGGTGGCTTCGTGGTTATAGCTGTAGATGGGGTAACAGAAACCCGCATTCAAGTTTCAGGGAATCACAACCTTGCGGCACCCCCTTTCAGAATGGTATCCCTAGATATCCCTAGCCACGATACCAAACATGGGGAAACATGGGAAACATGAAACGCCAACAGGGTCGACAGGAAACTATAGATGTCACTGAAGCAAGTGGAAAAACATCAAACAATATCTGTCATTACCGGAAATACGTAGTCTTAAACAAATTTGAAAAAAAAAGTAAATTCTCTAGATGTTCATTGGATTTCCAACAACATTTCTACCAGCTCGAAGTCCACATGTGTTACCTACCAATTGCCACTGAGCATGTGAAGTCTTGCGGTATCTGCCACTTGCCATCTGCCGGATCTGCCAAGTGTCGAGGAGAGCAGGAACGCGAACGCTTGCTCGTTCTCAGGTCGATTGAAATCTGTCACCTCGGCGGTGGCAGGAATTCTTAGCGGCTTTGAAGCCCTTGGGCTCGACAAAAGGAGGAGAACAAAACCGACCTCAACAGACTTAAGATGAAAGGCTGGATGCCAGCAAATTACATGCCATGTCATCTTGAAGAGTGGAGATCAACAGACATTTCGGATCATCCCAAAGAAGTGGAACAGAAAAACATGTTTGAAACCAACAGCCAGACTCCATGGAATCAATGGGCCATGGTGCATTTTGCCCAACTATCTCCTTGTTTTCAAGGCAGTGAGTTGAGATATGGGTATGGATCAATACCTATATTAATACCGTTTTTAATGGGATGAACATCCATTTACCAGCTATTTTGATGTGAACTACAGGGGTACAAGGTTTTGACCCATCCCCATATCAGTGAAATCACAACTCGAATGACCCATTCCATTGGTGTCTCAGCACCGCGCTCTGATGAAATCTGAGGCTATTAGTCCCCCAACCGTTTTTTAGTCTACGGCCTTAGCGAAAATACCCCCATCAAACATCAAACCTGATCAACATTAGCTTATTGAGCACCTACTAATAGCGGCGTTATCTTTGGTGTAGTAGCCGAGTCACCAGTTTCATTCGCTTGGTGATGGCCATGGTGCCATCCAATCGATGTGTCGGCCAGTTGCATTGCGCACCTAGCGAGCTATGGATGCTGTGGGCAGTCCCGGGTGCCTGTTGGGAATGCAATTTGACCTCTGAATAATTTGCTCCGTGACCTCATAAAATGAGGAGACCAAAGCTCATGATTTTCAAGCCCTAAACCTGGATGGCCATCTTCAATGCCAAGGGGCAAAGTCGCTCAATCAGGTCCAGGGTTTGTGTCCAGTTAGAGATCAGCACGATTCGATCCTTGAGGGCCAGAGATGGGTCAAGATTGGGGTGCCCCTAAAAAGGATGTCTGGGAACTTGTAACCAAGAGAAATGGGGATGTAACATGATGTATATAACTTACTCTCCGGTCATCAAACGTGGCAATCTGAAATCCCCTATAAATGGAAGGATTGATGGGAAAATGGATTATAAATGTGGGATTTTCCATCACCTGGGTTGATTACCTCACGGGATGTTCATACTTCAGCCACAAACTTATGGGAAATTTAGGGACATGAACAAGCATGAATCGGACTATGTTTCGAACAAATAGGATGAACAGGCACCACATCGGAGTATCTGAGTATCACCAAAAAACTGGGGATTTGACCAGCATGGGACAACGATGTGTCCAATGACTATCTCCCTGGATTGGGGGGTCCCTTCGCTTTGGACATCTGATTGTCATCCTTCTTGTCTTGCAACAACTCCCACACCTGACCGACCAACTTGTTGGAAGCAATGACACCAGTGCGAATTTGTCTTAAAACATGGTACCCCAAACACTTCTGGTTGATCATCAGTTTCCCAAATTTGCTATACATTGAGGGCCCATCCCCGCTTTGGCCCCGCTTTGGCCCCGCCTGCCCAACCTGCACCATCCCCATCCAGCTGCAGCCCAGCGGCTCCGTTGCCGGAGGCTTTGATGGCAGATAAGATCTGATGGACCAAGGCCAACTTGCCTGAGAGCTCCTGGCTCGGGGGGAAGGGATTGATGAAAAAACTAGGCTACCCCCCCTGAAATCCGCCGACCCTGGCCAGCGGCCAACAGCAAGGGGGAGCGCGTCAGGGCAGAGAGGTGTTGAAGAAGAGGAAGAAGAAGAAGAAGAACAACAACAACAACAACGTCAACATCTAGCAGGGTTTCAGACTCACAAGGGACGTTAGGCATTTTTGGTTGTTTGTTTTTGCTACATTTTGGGCGTGGCATTTTGTTGCTTCGCAAGCGTCACAAAGGCAATGTAGGAATGTAGTTTACTTTGTGTTTTGCCGCCAGAACCAACCGTAGACTGTAGACACAACATCAAACACTCAAAATCCTGCAAAGTGGCGCCACGCTGCGTTAATGATTAATGACGGCATTTCTGAATACCAAGATTCACCAGTAAAACCAACAATTTAAAAAAACCTGTTAACCACTTGGCCCCATTCCACAATCAACCACTGAAGAAACAATCTTTGAAAAACACTATCCACACATATCCACATCCCACAATCCCAGAAAGTTGAATCATTCCATTTCTTTTGGACCTGGACCCTTTTAATGGACCTTACCACAATTCTTTCAGAGATGGTTACATGCTTTTTGGACCGTGCCCACCTTCCTGTTGCACCTGGCCCTGCTCCAGGGAGTGCAGCGCCCCTCTCCTTGTGACACATTGGGTTTCCCGCCTCCTTCCCACTCAGCCATCTTCTCAATTTCTACTTTTCGCACCTCTTCCGGCCTTTCTCAGTTACGCAGGGGCTCAACTTTGGTTCAATCTGGGTGAAAGTGCCTCGCTTGGGTATCTAAACTTCCCCCCACTTGTGCCTCTCATCAAACTTCCTAAACTTCCTGCATTTATTGAGCTTCACTATCTATACTTCCCGCCTAGCCTCTCCGCAACTTCTTGCGCTCATGTAGTTTCAAGATCTAAACTTCCTTCCCGGTGCCCCTCAACAGCTTCCTGCATTCATCGTGCTTCAATATCTAAGCTTCCTCCCCGGTGCCCCGCAGCAACTTCCTGCATTCATATGGTTTCATATCTGCTGAGTAGTTGTTGGGGATTCTCATCATAGGTCACCATAATCACTACTAAACCATCCAGTAGAACTCTTGTCTCAATCATCAACCACCGGGGGTTTTGGAAACCGCTCATTTGGCAAACTAAATCCAGCCATCGAACTCGAGGGTTGGTGGGCACTAGAAAACACTCCCTATTTGGATCTGGAGGATCATCATCCCTGGCGCTCAGCAGCATAACCAACACCTACAGCAGGAAATGGTAGATCATGGAACACAGTTGGCACAGCCACGCCGCTGCTGTCCACGTACTTGCACTTCTTCAAATGTTTTTGCTAGGCACGGGCACAAAAACATAAATACCGTGATTTTGGCTACCGGCAAAAAACATCGCAAATACCGTGGCTTTTGGCTTCCGAGGCGCAAAAAGCATCAGTTTTTACGGTGTTTTTTTGCTCCGAGAGTGTCAGAAAAATGCGAAAACACCACCTATGTGCCAATTGTTAGGGCCCACAAAAATGCGACAATAAGATGTGTTGCAAGTACAACAACAGCAACAACAACAACAACAACAACAACCAACAACAACCAACAACAACCAACAACAACCAACAACAACCAACAACAACCAACAACAACCAACAACAACAACAACAACCAACAACAACAACAAGAAGAAGAACAAGAACACGAACAAGAACAAGAACAAGAACAAGAACAAGCAGCACAAAAATGCGACAAGAAGATGTATTACAATTACAAGCTGCGGTATGAAAAGCACATCACAGTGCTCTGCACCTGCGCGCACGCGCAGAGCACATGAACAACACCAACGCTCACACTATACATAACCCTTCTGGAATCGCCGGTGTGCGAAGCTCTACAATCACCATTTGTCAATCTCCCATGGTGGATTCCATTTGCGGGTCCCAGCCGGGCCCCGCCCCGGCCTCTCGGACGGGCTTGGCTCCCCGCAAGCCGCGGTCCATGCGATCGATCTCTTCGAACATGGCCTGATTTGGTTGGGACATAGATTGGACCCTTCAAAATGGTGGTGTTACATAGATTGAACCCTTCAAAATGGCTGGGATATCCCAGAACTAATGTGCATTCAAATGGAAAAACCATGAAAAACATCTATCATTCGAGGGATTTTCCAGCAAACTGTGTTTGATTGCCAGAGGGTAACCATTGAAAGCGATTGCCAGCGAACACATGGAATCTTTTGGATCAAAACCTTGGTACTCCCGGGCAAAATGGGTCTAGGAACCACCAAATAAGATCATTCAAGGCTGGAAAACCAGTCCCCATTTATTTAGAAAATTAATTCCAAAAAAAAGTCTAGTTTGTTTGTTTGTCAAAACATAGAAAAATCGAAAAAACAACCAATTCAAACATGACACATAACTACCATAGTTTGATAGTACACGTGGTTTTCCCAAAACGAAGCACAGCTAGTTCATAAGTATTAATAGCAAACATACATGCATCTAATTACCATACCCTCTGGTAAACTAACATAACTATGGAAAATCACCATTTTTCATGGGAAAATCCACTATTTCTATGGCCATTTTCAATAGCTATGTTAGTTCACCAGAGGGTATGATCAACAAACAATGAGCAAAAATGACTGGCAATCAAGGCATAGGATAAAAAAAAACAGTGTCTGTCACAAAAAGAAACGGCTCTTGCGCCTTGGCTGTACGAACAGCATGGCAGCCGGTACGAAGCGTGGTTGGTGAATTTACGAAGCCATATATTGGTGCCCACAGGTTTCAATTCACAGAAGTCCTAATACACCCAAGAAAAGTCTCTTCGCCCGATTTTATCAAGTTTCCAGAATGAAACGAACAAACACTGCAACAAGGTTTTAACATGAGTAGGAAGGGATTTTGAGGTTGAGCTGGGTTGCAAGTTTCAATCCGTGATATTTCAGTTGTAATCCATCATTATCCCACTTGATATGCCCACCGATTGGTGGTTGGTAATTGGATATCCCCACCAGTGGCAAAACCCTTGCACCCACCGTCCAAAATTCATTGTGTGAGTGGCGGACGATTTAACTTGTTTAGCAAATATTCCATAAACAAATAAGGTTGTCCCCTCTCGGTTGTGAAGATTTTGCACACCCGGCAAGGCGAAACAATCCCATATGCTCAATGTATGGAATATTTACCCTCTGGTAATTTAACATAGCTATTGAAAATGACCATTTATAGTGGATTTTCCCATTAAAAATGGTGATTTTCAATAGTTATGTTAAATTACCAGAGGGTAACCCAACATCTACCTCACGGTCGTATGGGTCAACTTCGATACCCCCGCCACCATGGAGCACAGGGACTCGCGTCTCATCGTCGTCAAAGCCCGCCTGCCAGGCTGCCAAGGCAAAAGATCTTCCCTACATCCGGACCCTGTGAAGATGGTTAGGACAAGTAACTATAAGAAATACATACAACTATATATTATGTTTATGTTTATGGGTTATAAGTTGATTAGTAACTAACCATATTGGTTGAACATAATCTTATGGGAAGAATATGGTAGAATAGACCAAGTGAAGTTCTTCTGTTCGTAAATGCGCTGTTTGGTTTGTATATATGGCAAATAACAGGACAATAGCACCTATGTACTGGCAGTCACTCAAGCACGTTCGACTAATTTGAAAAATCGTGATAACAAGTCTTGACGAAATAGTTGGTTAGTAAGTTAGTATACAGTCTACATATGCATACATATGCAATGTATGTCAAGAACATTCAAGTTGTAAAGAGAAACTACCCATCCTCCCGTCTACCCAAGTGTGACTGGGTGTGATTACCCCACAGGCTACACAGGTATGAAATGCTATGAATAGGATAAGTCCGGATGAGACGCACTATGAAAGTGGATCATCCAAGCTCATAGCTAAGTATTTTCGCTTACTGATGGAGTTACCCTCTGGTAATTTAACATAGCTATTGAAAGTGGCCATAGAAATAGTGGATTTTCCCATTAAAAATGGTGGATCTTTCCATAGTTATGTTAAATTACCAGAGGGTAACCAACAAAAATGGAGATTTAGTAGGATCTTAATGGGATTCAACTGTCGAGTCTAGGAGCCCATCTGTCGCTTGGTCACTGGAATGCACAGCCCAGAATGAAGGAAACCCCGATGTAAGTCATGTAATTATGATGGATGAGTATCACCAACCGCTGCAGGATTTCTGAACTACTGAAATAGAAATGAAATAGATAGCTCCAGCTCGAGCTTGATTACCCTGCGGGTAACCAGCATCAGAATCCACCGTGTTGAGATATTTTGCATGTGGAAACATGGAAGTGTCCATTTCCACCCCAGTTTCTGCAAAGGTATGGTCCATGTACAGAAAACTATGGCACCCCCGGGTTCACACCAAATTAGCTTGTTGCCTTCACATAGGAAAATCAGAAGAACTGACCCATCCGCATTTGGGTTTGTCTTCCAATCATCTACTGCTTAAGGTGCACCTCCAGCTTCTGCTCCCTGGAACGCACCAGGAAGGGGTGATTTACCAAGCCTGCGGCACGGAGGATAAAAAGCTGTAAAGATATATGCTCAAGTTATTTAACGTAGCCAAAAAAAATCATTAAATTTAATCTGTTTATAGCTAAACCATCAATCATCCATGGGCCATCTATACCAGAGCTATGTTAGTCATAACCAGAGGGTAACCCTCAATGCCATCCTTGTATGGGTACCATATAGGGTCAAGCTAGGCTGAACATCCGGAAATATATGGGAAAAAAATGGAAAAATGGGGGTTTCAGGGCGTATATGTTTGTATGTTGCTTGTTATGATTTTGTGTTGGGGTTCAATGTTTCATCTTCGCCTTTGATGTTTTTTCAGGTGGGGTTTTGGGGGTAATTTTGTTGCTAAAGTGATGTGTCAATGTTTGGATTGAAGGGGGGTAGGATTTGTTTAGGCTGTTGGGGTTTTTGTTTGTGTTTGGGTGGGTGATTACTTCATAGTATGTGTTGTTAAGATATTATGAATTAATCATTTATGCTTTCCACTTTCCTATTCCATCCCACCAGTGTTCAATCACTCTTATTTGTGTTAAGCAAGGTTTGTTTGTATCATTTAGTTCATCCATTGCTATTGATAAAAGCGTTAGGTTGATAATCATAGCGTTGAATTTTCCATCTCGGTTGAGTTCCTTTCCACAATCAATGATGACTTTTTTATCAGTGAGGTTTTCATACATCTTTTTCATTATATCAAATCTTACGAATGAATATATTATCATTCCATTTACTCCTTCTGCTTCTTTCATCCTATCAATTACTTTCTTCCAAAACTTTTCTCCTTCCTCATCATCTGGTGAAGGCATAGGATGGCACTTTACAAAGTCTCTAATCTTTTCATCTTCTTTTTCTATTTGTTTTCTTTCCCAATCATCGTCCTCACTATCACTACCAAAGTCAGCATATATACCAATATTCCCTGTATCTATAACCTCAATTTTTGCTCTACTCATTTTCTCTTACTATATATAGATATTTTTTTCTTTAAGTATTTATCACTTTTTGTAGGTGCTCTTTTATTTCTTCTATGTTCAAATATTTCTCATAACCGTTGAACAGTTCTTCAACATATTCACGCAAGAAAATTTCCAAAATGTTTTTTATCTTGAACTCCCTGTTTCTAAACATAAAAGTTCGTTCAACATTAGGAAACCACCAGCATCTTCGTTGCTTACTGTAATTGATGAAATTAAGGTCGTGAAAGTTCTTTAGAATATGATAAGTGTATTTCCAATGGTTTTTGACATAAGACTTAATCGCTTGAAGATATATCTTATCCTTTTGAAATTCTACCTTCAGTTTATAGGTGTCCAATAAAGCATCTATTTTTCTCTTCATTACTCTTAAATTTGTTCGGTCGGTGTTGGATAAATAGATAGGTGATTTTTCCATCCTTGTTTTAAAGAAATGTATTTGTTTTTCAACTCTTGTTAGTTCTTTCTCTTCAAAATGGTCGAAATGATAGCTGAATGTTATATATCTGCGTTCCTTATCATTCAACTCTTTACATTTTGAACAGTGAAGGTTGTAATCACATATCTCATCACAAATTCCAGCAGGAAAAATGTTGTTCAATAAAACCTTAATGTCAGTCATTTCTTTTTTACAACATCCACAGTTTTTATAAGTAAATAGCATCCTCTTACTGTATATAGTCATTTTTTTTAAGTAGTTTTTGGGGGCTCGTTCAGTTTTCGGGTTCGGGTTGGTTTTTATTTTCCCTTTCCTCCTCTTCCAGTTCTCTTATGACCATATCTATTTCACTCATTCCTTCGTTGGGGTCTTGTCCATTGGCGAGGTTTCTTAACCTCTCAAAATCCTTCACTTTGTGTCTTTCATTGGGTGGGAGGGTTTTGAGATGTTCCTTCAACTCTGTCAGGTCAAAGTATGTGTCTTCCTCTTCATCCTCATTTTCCAAAAACATTTCCATTCGTTGCTTTTCCATCTCCATAAGTTTGTTTTCCATATATTGGAATTTCATTTGCTTCTTGTAGCACTTGCCACAAACATTCACGAAGGTTTGGAGCAAGTAGTTCCAATTAGGTTGGTTTCTATCGTTCAGGGTTATAACATCTGTCATTATACGACATCCACAGTCAAATTTAGTCATCTTATTTAGTCTTACTATATATAGGTATTTTTTCTTTAAGTATATTTTTTATTGTTGATAATTTTAAAAAATCTAATATTATAATATATGGCAAGGAGACTATCAAGAGATGACATCATAAGCAATGTCTATTATAATCTTGAAACGGGCTTCGGTTCAATCAATGAGACCCTTAAGAAAGCCAAGGAGCAAGACCAGACCATCAACAGGGTGGATGTGGAAAACTTTATGAGGAAACAGCCCAACAAACAGATTAGAAAATACAGGGGGTCAAACTCCTACACCGCACCCTTCGCAAGGTTTGAATATCAGATTGACATAATGGATATGAAACCCCTTACCAAAGAACCAGAGACAAAACTTCCCATCAAGAACGACGAACCGAGATATGGGTTGGTGGTCATTGACATCTTCAGCAAGTTGGCAAACGTCGTCCCTATGAAAGAAAAATCCGGACCAATCACATTGTCGGCGATGAAAGAGAGTTTCAACAAAATGGGTTTTCCAATGTCCGTTTATAGTGATAATGACCGTGCCTTCCAAGCAGGGGTAAAAGAGTTCTTTGAGAAAGAAGGCATCACTCACGTTGTCACCCTAACTCACGCCAATGTTGTGGAGCGTTTCATAAGGACAATGAAGAATATGATACACGACAGGGTGAGGTTTAATCGTGGTAGTTGGACTGTGATGTTGTCCAAAGCGTTGGATAAATACAACGACACCGTCCATTCATCTACAAAAATGAAACCCAAGGATGCCCACGACGACAAGAACCATATGGACGTCAGGGTGAATTTGACAAGGAGGGAAAAGAACACTCGCAAATATCCAGAGGTCAAAGTGAATGATATGGTCAAGGTCTTTGAGAAGAAAAAAGACAACTACACCGAGAGGAAGGAGTATAACTCAAAGTGGAGCAATCAATCCTACAAAATCGTCAAGATAGAATACGACGACGTCGGAAACAGAACCTTCAAACTGGAAGGATTGAACAAACCGTATTTGAGGCACGAGATTTTGAAAGTATAAAAAAATTATCTATAATATTAATATATGACAGAGGTAGTCGTAAAAGAGATTGATAATGAAGAACCAAAGGAAGAAACAATACCAGAACCAATACAGGAAGAAGCACCGAAGGAAGAGGAGAAACCAGAAGAAATAATTGAAACACCAGTTCAAGAGAAACCGCAACAAGCAACGGTAGTCCCAAAGCCCAAAAGGGTAAGACCGTCAAGGGCGAAACCACCTTTTGACCCAGAAGCATTCAAAAACGACCTTGTAAAGCAACTGAAGGAAGAACTACAGAGTGCAATGACCGCCAGAGACACCTACAACAAAGCCAAAGAGGAAAAGAACAAAGCGACGAGAGAGAAATTGAAATCTTTAGCAGCAAAAATTTTGTAAAGTATTATATATAAAAATGAACATCGAGGAACAGAAAACGGAACTCAACAAAACTGACATCTACGAAAACGTCCGCAAGGACATCAACAGAAGACAAACCGTCCATTCAAACAAAAGTGCCAACTACAGGAGCGGAACGCCCGAAATGCCAGACAGAAGAAAAAAAGTGTATAGTAGTTATGACCACTACTACCACAACGACAGCAACACGGCAAGGATGCCAACTCACAACCATCATCTTTACCTAAAGCGCCTTCTTGAATATCACAACACCGAGCACGACTACAAGGTCTTACAAGTAAAGCAGAGGATGAAGGAAGAGAATGAGATGCTACAGAACGAAATGACAAGGTTGAGGGAGGTGAGGAAAAATCACAGATTGGAAGATTACGGGGCGAACGTCCAGAATATGAAACAGAGAATTGATGAGTATAAGCAGTGGTTGAGAGGCGATACACAAGATTAATATAAAAATCTAAAGTATTAATATATAGCAATGACAGCAGAAGTAATCAACGCAAAACAGGGATTGACACGAATACCCACTTACGCAGAACTCATCAAGGAAATAGACAGGGAAAAGTTCAAAACCAATGACATCAGAAAAATCTTTGATAGGAACGCTTGGTATTTTCACGAAAGTCCGCAGGGTCAAGCACTGAACACAAACAACATCCACCCAGCAGACTTACAGCAAATGAACTTCAACAAGATGGCAGAGGAAGCGACCGCAAGGAAGGAAGAAGAAACACCCAACCTTGACTTTGAAGATATGACCAACTTGAGGGACGACGCCATCAGCGACTTTGAGATGTCCTTTGACAGAGAGGCAGAGTTGAGGGAAGAGAACGAAAGGAGAGTAGCAGAACAGGCAAATTTAAGTCATTCACAAGACCACTATATGGCAAACAAAGGAACATACGACGCCGTTGGAGCAACAGCATCGGCAGGGATACAAGAAGACGAAGAATCGCCTTCAAGCAGTAGAAGCATCTTAAAGAACTTCCTTAAATCATCCAAACCAGTCATCAAAGCAGTCGCCACAGCAGGAGGAACAGCAAAGGGAGGGTCAATAGGAGGACTAATAGCATCAAAACTGACAGACACCATCATACCCGACGAAGACGAGGAAGAGAAACCGTCCAAGATAAAACCAACACAAAAACTAATCAACAAACAAGTCAAAAAGGTAAATCACCAAAAGAAGTTAAAGGAGGAAAAATCAAAGATGAATGTAGATGTAGTGCCCGACACCGCAGAAGCAATGGACACAACAGCAATACCAACGGCAGAAAAGAGGAAACCCTTAAGCGTGAGACAGTCCAAAGCAAAGAGGCAGAAACCAAAACCGCCAACGCAGGAGAAGAGAGAATTTCAGGAAGACCCATCCACGACCACCAAACCACCCAAAGCAAGAAGAGTAAGAGGAAAGCAACCACAACCACAAGCATTAGGAGCAACAATCAACATCCCCA